TACGACTGTGAAATACATGCATACTTCTACTGTTGGCATTCCACATATACACATATATCTCTCCTGTGCCTGGCTGAGCAGAATGGATCATGTCATACACCATTCGGAACGGCAGATGCAACAGCATGGTGAGTGAGGTGGGTGAATATAAGTTGTTCACTGGTATTGAGGGGGACATGGGCTGATGTACCATCGATGTTTCGGGCAAGGGGAACATAAAGCAACATCGAGGGTACATCAACCCATGGGCCCTGAGGGACCAGTGAACAACGTATTATCTTATCGAACACCTCAATGGTAATTTTGAACTGTTTGAAGCACGGGTATCGAGTACCAGATGACAAGAAAAACAAATTTAGAGTTATCTCCCTTCCATCGATTTGCATTCGCAAAACATCGGTAATTTCCGTACATCATACGTGGTTCAATGTTATTCGAGAAAAAGAATTACTACTACGAAGTACCAAATCAGTTCGGCAATTCCAGCGGGGTACATAGAAAATGTTACTCGCTTGTAAGCGTGGTACATTGAAAATAATAGAAGAGCGCTCAGCCAATCAGAAAACGACATTTATATGTGTGGCAAGATAAAGTGTTTTGATCATATAACGGCAGCTTAATAGGCAAGGAAAGCCATTCAAATTCAAATATATCAGCCTGTACATGTTTACATCATTAATGAAACTCAGGAACACTGTGTCAGTCTCAGTCAGCGGATCTATGACCGTCTAATACGCACGTCTCTGCTCAGCTAATTCTGGTAATATCCATACCGTCTAATACGCACGTCTCTGCTCGTTCTTCTAAAACAAAGGTTCAAGAGAAACCATATTTGATAGAACTTGTTCAACCCAGTGCAACTGTTGTTGTCATATCAAGAGCTGTACATGTTTACATCATTAATGAAACTCAGGAACACTGTGTCAGTCTCAGTCAGCGGATCTATGACCGTCTAATACGCACGTCTCTGCTCAGCTAATTCTGGTAATATCCATACTTCTGTCTAAACAAAGGTTCAAGAGAAACCATATTTGATAGAACTTGTTCAACCCAGTGCAACTGTTGTTGTCATATCAAGAGCTGTCCCCATCGATGAAGCACGTTGCTCATTCCCTTTGATTGATTGTTTTATTGTTGTTGTTTTTCCCTTTGAATTGTTAATTTTTTTTGTTTTTATTATTTTTTTGTTATCAGGACAATCCATTGATCAACAGCATAAGCATCGATATCTGGATGCGAATCGATGTCTGGGATACGATGTCCGCGAGCCAGACCACCCGATCCCGTTAGTTGCCTCTTACGGCAAACATTGGTTGCAGAAGACCATTTTGAACCCGGATCGTCAGGCTCCCTTTCTTAAATTAATATTTTAAAGTATATTAATGACAATGGTATTCGCACAGCAAAGGTCAACATGTGTAGTGACAAACAGGAAATCTACAACAAATTATTATCTGAGCAAGTATGTGATAGAACGTGTCCTATGTATTTGATATTTAATTCACGCACTGTACATGCAAATAGTCTCCAACAGGTTTTTATTATCTGCTAAATAGTCCATCTCTGTCGTGTTATTATTGAAAGTGGATTCCTACCTATTTGCAGTTACACCTGTGACGTCGTCTAGTGGGGCATTTACATATGCCATCTACTCATGATAAAAACACTAGTTGGTGTATGCATTAAGCGAAAAGGAATACACATTTTCACTATTGTAGCCAACAAACTGTCAAATCGCATTTGGTGAGTAAAATTTGAATGATTAGCGAGAAATGGAAAGCAATGGTCTGAATGCTTCCGGAATGTTCTCTTATAATTGGGATACATCGTCCTTTATCTTGTATTCTTTTCAATACCACTATTCAGCCACACATTTCCTCACAATAATTTGTCTTCCTCTGTGAAATAAAACTTCAGGTACAAATATATTCAAAGTGAAGTTTTTGAAAGGCATTTAGAAGTTGGAGGAACGTATTTATACATGACACGTTTTGTGGATAACAACTTCTTATTTATTCTTTACACGACGTTAGGAGCTAATTCTTGCTCCATAACGTGTCATGTATACATGTTCCTCCAACTTCTAAATGCCTTTCAACAGCTTCACTTTGTATATATTTGTACCTGAAGTTTTATTCAGACCCTGAGTAAAGTTTTCTGCCAGTTGTGAATGCTGTAATTACAGAAGAGTACGCTATTTATGACGGTGTGTCAGTAATAGAGATAGTGTTTGTCTTGGACGTTGCCAGCCATTCCTTCTCATTAGAGTAAGGGGCAGGTGTTAGCCATGATTAATCGGACATCAAAAGGAAACAGTCTCTCCTCGTCTTCACTGTCTTCTCATTAGCCTGTGATGCTGATCCGCTCACTCCGCGTCCGCTGTAGTCTCTCATGGATCCCTCATGGAGGACGGGCCTCTGTGTTAGTGTGTCTGCATTCCCTCAGTTTCTGTGGGTGTGAATATGTACGTTTATAAACTCCCGGTACGTCTAGCAGCTATGTGCATCTGAATGCCTCTCTGTTGGTCCTCGTGTACCTGTAGCAACAGTATTATGTTATCTGCAGTCAGTTGGATTCGTTGTCGTGTGTATTTTCCCATGTATTTTAGTCAATTTTGTGTGTCGAGATCTGTTGCAGTGCTGCCCGTCTTGTTGCAAGGCATCAGGTACACGTTCCTGACGATGTATAAAACCTTAGTTCCATGGTCTATTTGCAAGATTTTAGACTGAAGGGTGAACCTATGTGGGAGATTACAGGTATAATGCTATTGACAAGACTCTGGAACCAATGGTTTATCTATTTGGGAGGCCTTAGGGTTACCGGCCTGTCCATTTGCCAGACTGGTGTATGTACCTGTATTTTGGAGGCTTTAGGCATACGAAGCTATTCATTAGCAACTCTCTGCGGTCACCTTTCCCACTATACACAAAGAAGGCATTACTGTCCATTTGCAAGGCTGTTCATATGTAATTATATGTATCTGCATGTTCTTCTTATTCGGTGTGTATATGCTCATCCCTTTAGGTATTTCTGTTTGTAATCATAGTCATATTTTGGGGACAGACTGGAGAGTTTCAAAGTTGGTAAAGAATCATTTGATTGGGCATGTTTCGTTTGTTGATTGGGAATAACTTGTTTGTAGGTACGGATTCCTTGTACTAACACACCGCCAGGTGGCGTCCTAAAGATCACTCTCAGCCACTGTACTCCCTCATAGTGTCGGTCTCCTACACGTCAGGGTAGGAAGCACTCCACACTATGATTGATCGGGAAAGTGACGCCAAACAGTATCTGCTCATCCTGTATATTGAAATATATCACACTTGTTGACAGCCCGTCACTTCTACAACCACCACAATGGTTGATTTATCTCCCTTGAATAGACCCTCTCTGACGTGAAAGCTGGCTAATTTGCTGTGAAAGCACTTTCAATGAAGCTAATGAAATAACGTGAAGATGATATATTAGATTACATCAACAGGATTATTGAACATCAAGAAATCTGCAAAAGATCTTAGCGATTCCGAAAGTGTCTGTCACTTCCTGTCTCACGAATAAACACTCCCCGGACTTTCGATTCAGGCTGTGAGTCGTAACAGTGGTTGGAAGAGGTAAATCTTGATTGCAGTCTTCCTCTTTGCGTCTCGCTGCCGTCAACGAGCAGATTCGCTTCAACAAAACATTGACCATAATTTGTTACGATTCAAAAATATACGAAATGATTGATGCGAGTGTCAAGATGTAATTACTTTTTGTTCGGAAACATGATAAGCACGTGAAGGATGATGCCTCCTTCCAATTACGCAAATTATCTAAACACTCACTTTAGGACAAGCAGCCTAATGCTTTGTAAACAGACGCTTTATCGAATAGTGTCTTGTAATTCTCGTAATTGAAAGCTTTTTTATGTTACTCATGATCAAGCCACGTTTTTTCTTCTTCTTGTTTTTTGTAGGGGATTTTGTGGGAGGTTTTCTTTGGTGAAACGGAATCGGTGGGCCAAATTGTATCTTGCTTTTTCTCAAGGCAGTAGTTTGAATGAACACAATTTGGATTAGAACGTGTCCTAAATTTTATGTATGTTTTACGAATGCAATTGAAGCGCTGGAATGTGAGATGAGGTGAGGTGAGGTGAGGTGAAATTAGGTTTAACGTCGCGCTGGAGAATACTTCGCTCAAATGACGACGTGAATGCGTGTGTATGTGTATATGCGGCTGCTTGTACTAGCCCAGACTGAAGCTGGTTTTATAGTGCTAGCCCACTGAGATACCATGCCGCAGTAAAGCATGAATACCCCACTCAGACACATTATACTGACTCCAAGCCGACCAGTCCTTGTTGTACCCATTAATGCCGAGCGCCAGGCAGGGACCAACAAGTACCATATTTTAACGTCTTGACACGGTCGGGGATCGAACCCACGACCTTCCGCTCTCTGGACGGACGCTCTAACCACGAAATCCTTAATTATATTTCAGTTTAATGAGGTTCCGTTCGTAACGCCCCAGTAATACTGCATATATTCTACTATGTGCAGAAACTGTGGTAGAAAACGTTCCCAGTTGCTTGTTGTAGGACGGATAGAAATGGGGATCTGGTGGTTGTGATGACGATCACCGATGGAAAACATATTTGCTCAAGCTAACAGTCAAATGATTCACTGGTCGATTGTCGCTTATACTCAAGCAATCGGAGTTATCATGAAATATTGCACCTGTGTGGTTTGTAGTCTCTCGTTCACTGGTCCCTTGGGGATTGCGGTTCAAAACTGACCGGTCTAAAGAGGCGCCATTGCTTATACTAAACTAATCACTGCAGTATCTGGTCTGTAGTCGAACTATTGCGGCTTTAAACACACACACAAACACACACAAAAAAACAAAAACAAACAAACAAACACACACACAAACACGCACACACAGAATATTCTACAACCGTTACTGTTTCGAGCAACATTCTAACAGCGTAAACCTCACATGAGTGAACCCCATTTATAGACCATGGATACTTTCTTTACTCATACCAATATCAACTTATATAAACCAAACTGGCAGATATGTTTTAAGTGAACATCTGTGAATAATTTCATCTGAAAATGTCCAGTCAACAACAACATCAGTGACGCAACAACGACATCAAACAAAGGAGGGGTAACTTGCAGTCAATATCGTGTGTGTCCACCGTGCGCTGCAAGACATGCTCGCAGTCTTTGGGGCATTGAAAGACACACATTTCTCAGGAACAGCTGTTGGATGGTCTGCAGCCTCTAATGGTCTGTGGTCTGATCATGACACCACCCCCCTCCAAAACGATCATGTTCAAGGACACAGTTTGGCGCAAGTCTTTCTCCTTTACGTCGATAAATCTGTGGACGTCCATCTGCAAAGGATAAGTTAAACCTGGATTCATCTGAAAAAATGACATGTGGCAATGTCCGGTTGCCAAGATTGGCCCCATTTGCTGCCCATCGCTGTCTGGCAAGTCTGTGGCGATGCAATAAGGTTGGACCACGGTACGGGTGACGACACCGGATCTTGAAGTCAGCAAGGCGTCCTTGCACCTTTTGGGCGCTGAAATGACGTTGACTTGTCCCAATTGTCCTCCTTGCCTCATCATCAGCTGTTTGGAGCCGATTTCGCAAGTGTGAAACTCGGATATTGCGGTTTTTTCGAGCTGTTATCACAGGTGGTGCACCAGGTCGCGGACGATCAGCAACACTTCCGGTAGCCCGAAAACGTTGTCTGAGTCGACTTACAGTGGATGGATGCACATTAAAGTGCCTGGCAATCATCACATCTGAAGCACCTTGGCTGACCATACCGATAACCTGATTCCTTTCGTCTTGTGTCAATTGTGGCATTTTCTCAAAGTGATTGAGTTCCACAATTCCTTGTGCTTTTACAGGGCTTGGGTGCAGGTAATGCATGTGCACAACGTGTTTCGTGAATGTGGTTGTGTTTACGAGAAATGTCAAAGGTTCAGTTTTAAGTATCAAAGTTCATGTGAGAGGAATGCTCCGGGACTCGAACTCGAAATGGGCCAGAATAACAGCCTTTTATCCCTACATCCTCTGTATCGCAGGAAAAAATCTTCAATAGAACTTTTGTGAGTTTCAGGACAACAAATACCAATTGCGTTTTTAATGGCTTACAGTAGTAGTAGTAGTAGTAGTAGTAGTAGTAGTAGTAGTAGTAGTAGTAGTAGTAGTAGTAGTAGTAGTAGTAGGAAGAAACGGGAATACTAGTAGCAGTAGCAATAGGAGGAGGTAGAGGAAGAGGAAGTTGTATGTCTTCTGTCTTACTAACTGAAAATGTTGATCTCTGAAGACCACAAACCAGCAGACGAGCGAAGCTTCCATACTAATTACAACGTGCCTAACAATAACATTGCAATATGTTTATTGATCAATTAGTGATGTTCTAGGTTGAACTGATCCTAAGTACTGCATTCATGACTCAGAGGTATCCCCACGGCTCAGGCCATTGCCATCTTTTGTTTTGCCTTTATCAGAAATCTGGAACCATACATTCAAAGGACGATATCCTCGACAGATTGGTTGCAGCACTGGGATTGAATATTTGGAGCAGTTGCATTCCATTTCGTGTGCTACATGTTCATAAGATGCCATAAACAAATCCCTTGTGGGTTTTGTTTTTGACTGACTGGGCTCTTTTCACATGTTTAATTGTTGTAAAATATTGATGCAATCTAGTTATAATGAAATTGCTGTGGTCCATGCAAATAATATTTACATGCGGGTGATTGCAGCAGATATCGCTTGGCCGTCCACAGCAATATGTTTTCAATTAGGTATTTTTTAGATGATGCTGATTTGGTCATAATTCTAAAATGCACGGGGGCGGTGGGGTAGCCTAATGGTTAAAGCGTTGGCTCGTCATCCCGAAGACCTGGGTTCGAATCCCTACATGGGTACAGTGTGTGAAGCCCATTTCTGGTGTCCCCCGCCGTGATGTTGCTGGAATATTGCTAAAAGCGGCGTAAAACCAAACTCAGTCAGTCAGTCAGTCAGTCTAAAAGGCACGACTGTTATTCACAGTTGGAGAATTGATTACTTGTCAGTTATCCTCGTGGTTGCGAGTGTTATAAATTCAGCAGTTATTATTTTGATTTTGGTTTAAAAATACATCTAGCTATTTGCACGATTAACAGTTGAACTATGGACATAGTGATTGACTGTTCATCAGAGGGACATATTGTCAGGGGAATATTTGAAATAAATGACATGACCAAAATGTCCTGACCAGTTCATGGGTTCTAAAAGTATCACATACTTGAGATTCGGACTGTGTTCTTGACGTCAATAAAATGGGCCCAAAACCACACAACAACATTCACATGACCTCTTCTTGTGATGAATTACTGGGAAATTTGGAAAATTTCAGTTCAATTAGGTTAAAGTTAGTTATAAGCAAAGTGCTGACTCAGATTATCAAATTATCTAGTCACGAGATCATAACCTAATGATTTCAATTGAATAATACATGGATATAGTAATGATTCAAAATGCGAGTTTCTGTAATGACCCTGTAAAAACAGAAATATGGATCTTGAGTGAGCTAATATGTTTGTCATTTCAAACTCTTATTTCATCATGTGTAATAGAGAGTTTAATATACAAATTGTTGAGTGAGTGAGTTTAGTTTTACGCCGCCTTAGCAATATTCCAGCTATATCACGGCGGGGGACACCAGAAATGGGCTTCACATATTGTACCCTTGTGGGGAATCGAACCCGGGTCTTCGGCGTGACGAACGAACGCTTTAACCACTACTACCTCCCTACAAAAATGGTTGTTAAATTCACAAAGCAATCCTGGCATAATGTGAAGAAACACAATGATGGGGTGTCAAAACGGTTTCCTCATCACGTGTGTCAACAGATAGAATTTTTACTTCAACTTAACCAATATGTTCGTCAAGAATAGATTTTGTCTCAAAGATCTATAACAAAACAGAAGAAAGAGAATATTCATACCAAACGTTTTTCTTACCTCGTAGATAAACAGCTACAATATAATATCATAAGAATGAAAGAGAAACCGACAGTCTGAAGGTTCTTGACATGAAATCTTCCTCTCAATAAACGTTGCTCATCACAAGAAGTGAATATGTTGTCAAACAAAGTGTAGCATACCACTGCCTGATTCTACATTCAATTTATTTACACCAACACTTCTTTAGACTCTCTTCTGTCCGTGTTCTTTGACTCATTTTGATGATTATTTTTCCGGAGTGATTTAACAGCAGTGCACGTAGAACAGAAATTGCTATCTGCATGATGTGACTTCTGTTGCTGAAATATTAAAATTGATTTGAAAAAAGAATAATGATCACCCTTCTAATGCTTCACATTGAAAATGCTATCTTAAAACAGCATCTAAAAGCCTTCGTAGTCTTTCAAATCTCGGACAAACTTGAAGTTTAGTTTTGAAGAGACGTTAATCTTCGCCAAGACATCTTTTCAAGTTTGACAACAAGCTGAATTGACGGACACAAGCAAGTTATTTTTCTTTCAGAGAAGAAAGACCGAACATGTTGCTTCACTGTCTTCCTCAATCTGGAATGGTCTAGATGCATGGTCTACAAATTAAAACTGGAGACGAATTCATCTGCTGCTGAACCTACTTCATTAGGAATGAGTTATAAATAACAATACCATCATGGTAAGTCATTAACATGAAACAAGCAGGTAAATCCCCCTTAAAAGTTTTGGTTGGAAGTATTAATAGGAAGTTATTTAAGAGACGTTTCCTATATACAGATCAAAATTTGCTTCATTTAAGAAACCAGCCTGATGTAGTCTGATGCGGTGAACCTAGAACCCAGCACGCCTTGCCGGAAACGGTATATCAGGGTATGATCCTGACCCGAAATTGTTTTACTTACATTAGACAGAAAACAATTCTGAAGTCAAATGGAACTGAGGTCATGTAATATCTGAAGAAGTAAATTTCGGAAGACCAGTATCCAAACAGGTACTTTTTCTGCCATGAGCAGTTTTTTCATGACATCAGTGTTTGTTGGTTTATTGGTTTGATGGATTGTTTTACGCGCCACACCAACTTTACCGCTATATGGCGGCGGTCTGAACTTAATCTATTCAGGACAATTTTGTCAAGCAAGGGTGAATGATATTGACATTTGAATTCCTTTCATGTCAAGTAAAAGCCCTACTCTCAGGTCGTGTACATGAGAAACCGGTTCAACAAACACTGAATTCTTCAAATATCACATCTAGAAAGTTACAGAAATGAATATTCACAGACGTTTTATATAAAACAAATATTTGATGAATAAAACAATATAAAGTTCTAATGTAAATGTAAGCACAAAGCACGTTCCTAAAAGTGGTGGAGATCAACCCTAGAAAAGTGTTGTTTTCCTTCAGCTTTTACCCAAGAAAGGGTCCATGTGATCGATTGCAGTTGGACGTTCTACACTCCTCACTTTTAACACAAAGTCAGGTTGTGCATGTATATCATTAATAGCTGCACTCTGTTGAATAAAGGAATTTGTTTATAGTACATTATAGATGAAATAACAACGTCGTTCTATACATGGGGCAGTGATCCAAATGATAAACGCCATTTTGATCAGATCAATTAGTTGTTGTCCTAACTTACTCTATACGACCAACGTGATGTATACAAATGATGTTACAGAGTATAAGTACATATAATTAACAAAGTGGAAGATGGGTGACTATTTGTACTACTTTGTTGATGCCTACACAGTGCTGAGTCGAAGGATGGTTTGGATGTATTTTCAGATCCAGCTGGAACGGCTTTTAGTTTGGACGGGTCCTTGTCCACAGTACATGTAACAGTAACTGTGTAGGTTCTCAGCAGTAAGCTGTGTTACAGCCACGGTGAACAGTAAGCATATGTTACAGCCACGGTGAACATGAACAGTAATGATCTCTTTCCTATCGATGACCCTCGAGTGTTTGAAAGATCATTAGCAAAATTATGCATATCTGTATTTTCTTGACGAGAATTACATAAGAGGATTATAGATTGAAAAGGACGCGACCTAGAATGAAGGTGGAAAAAAATAGAAAATAAAACCCCAACGCAGTATGATAACCAGTGTCGTTTGAGGCCATTGGGAGTAAAAGTGAAACTTA